GAATTTCAGCCTTCAGTAAGAGCTAGAAATTACAGAATTCTTTCACAGAAGCATCTACTACCTACCAGAGCATAAATTTATGGAAAATCCCTAATCCATGTGAGAAAAACATTCCCTTGTAAGGAACATCTTATTTTTTAAAGCAAATAGTAATTACATATCGAAAGCACAAATAAAATTCAAAAGAGAAAAAAGTGTAATTACTGAAGCATTAGGAGAATACAAGAGTAAGCTACGTGCCTCATTTATGATGTCTTTCTCCACACTGGAAAAGATAGCAGAATTGACGGAAATCTACATCCTTGAAAGCGTAGTCTTCTGTTGTATTCTCCCATAAATTGAGTCAACGAGAAAATGTTTGTACTTGCACAAATCGCATGACATTTGAAAGGAACAAGAAGTAAAGGGTGGAACAAATGTTTTCCTACAGAAAACAAAACAAATCAACTGAGGGTTTTGAGAGGGTAAGCAAATTTAAAACAAGCCATTTTCTTCATAATATGTCAAATAAAAGCAAAGCTTAGTTTCCAATTAGAATATCGAATCCAAAAACCAAATCATCCGATAAATTGTTATGGTACTCAGCATAGATCACCGTGCATTTTTCTCCGTTAGACAATACGAAACTCCACTGGTTGAGGCAGTCTGTCGGCTTCATTTCATCTTCATTAATGGCATTCAATCCTTCTAAAACTACCTCCGGTTCAGCAGCACGCAAAAAATCTAAAGTTAGAGTTTTGACATTGGATTTTTCTTTGAAGGCATCTAGGTTTTTCAGTAACGCGTTAATCTCGTTATCCGTCAAGAGAACATCTTCGATAGCAATGTCTCGTGCTTTAATTGCTTGTATATCTTTGATTTTCAACCATTTTCCATATTTAATAATGACTTTATCCGCTTCCAAGTCGACAGTTTCAAGGTTTTCTGGATATTCAGTTGGCTCCATTAAAAATTGCAAGGAATTGTTTGCTTTTACAGTTTTCATCAACCAAATGTAGTTTTGAAAACTGCATCGTCCTATAATCCTGAATGTAGGCAGGGTTGAGAAGTGATCTTCTATCCAGTCGAACAATTCTTGATATTTTTCAACTGAAACTTCGTTCAAATCCATTATGACTGCATCAATTGCCGCGTGGAACACATCAACAAGAACGTCGTAAAGAACTTTGAAACTCTGCATTCGGTCATCCCAGTATGTTGTCAGAATCAATTTGTCGTGATCTTCTTCTGTTTCTGTGTAATCAGACGGCACACGGTCGACAGCGCCAATATTCACATAGAAAACTTTGTTTCCTTGTTCATTTTTATTGTTCAACCATATTGCCTCGCAGTGATTTTTATTAGTTATTGATTTTATCATGATTTTCAAAGACTCTTGGAAGTGAACTACCAGCAAGTGTTTTCGAGCACTCAAGACGTTTTTGACGATCCTCTTCGTTTTTGAAGACGTGCAAGACAGTAGAAATCTGGAATTTTCAGGTGAAATATCGTGTTAATCTGTACTAATTCAAAACTTACAAGTCAAGAAATCCTATAATCTGGAAAATATTTTGCATCACCAAGAAGGGCAGCTTTTGAAACGGAAGTGTCATTCCTGTAAATTAAAATTTCAAATATAGAACCAAAAACTAGAATAAGAATTCAAAGAACCGATCGATAAAAAAAAACAAGAGGGTTGCAAGCGTACAGTGTATGTTTGTTAGAATGAGTGGTTGACGAAGAGGTCGACACAAAAGAAGAGAGATGGAGATCTAATCTTTGGTCATCTGCCTCTCATTTCTTGCACTGAGCCCCCTAATCCAAGACATTCTATCCTTCAGATTCTGCGTCAAAACATTGAATGAACGCAGAGAAAGATGCTACCCTGCATTGGAACTGTCCCTGTCGTATTGGAATTTCAACAGGGGTCATATTTTCAAGTTTTTACATGCTTCGGAACTACCAGGATCTAATCCGTAGTTCTAATACGATACATTTCTAATGGGAGGTAGCACCCAGAAAATCCGTCAAGTGGTATAGAGGAATTTGAAACACTCCCACTCGGAACAGTACATTGGAGAAGTGGTCCTTATTTGACCAGAAACTATGCTTTCGCACAATTTTCACACAAAACATCATATCTGGTCAAGTAAGCGGCACTTCTCCAATACCTTTCATGGTGAACAACGGGACTGCACTAAATAAGAATTCCCAACGAAAACCCTGTCATGATTACATAACAAAAACTTGAATTTTGAGAATTAAAAAAAGTTATCTTGTGAACATTAGCAAGACACATTCAGACTACATTGATGACGCTTTCAGCCACTCTGAAAAGCTAAGCATGAAAAAAATAAAATAAAAATGCGAAGAACCGACCGAAACATGGTCGACGTTGTGGCAAACGAATTGGCATCTTGTTCCGCGACGAAGACGGTACTGAAAGATTAGGAAAGACCAGCAGTGCGTACCCATGACGTCATAAAAAGCGACGTATGTGAAAGAAAGCTGGTGATATGACTTTTGGCTATGACGTTCGCTCATGAAGTCTGATGTTGCAATCAGCAGTAGTGTATGGTTAATTCGTTTTTATATAGCTTATCCTCACAGTTGTACATACATCCTCCCATTATCCATTGAGATTGTAATACTGATGTAGGATTTTTGTGAATCGACAATTTTTTTGATATTCAATTCAATTTTTCACTTTGTTTCAAAGAAACCTTGGCGACAAATTTGACTGATTAGAAAATGTCGAAAAAAGATTGACATTCTTGTTTATTACAAAAAATAAGGGTTGATTGATTTCAATTAATTTATTTGTGAAGTTGAATGATTAAAAATATTTTATTGGAAAATAATAAATGAGTGATTGAAGTAGAGGCACATTTTTATTAAAAATTATTAAAAAAGAAGATGAAAATGAATTATTTATGTGTTCTTCATGATTTAAATATAAAAATTTATAGGGAAGGCCGAAAGACAGCAAAAGGATTATGAGAAAATAAAGAAAAAAATTTCCATAAATAATATTAACATGGAAAATGTGAATTTGAAGAATTCTGTCAAAGTTATATAAAGTATGGCTGGTATTGAGACAAAAACGATTCGAAAGCAAAGTGATTATAACAAAAAAAGGAAGAGAAAAACAAGAGTGATGGATGAACAAAAGAATTCTGTAGAACGAATGAAATAAATCAAAAATCAGTGCACACAACCATTTCGAAACTTCCACTCGTCGCTACACCGATTAGAATACGTTCAGGGCAGCCGAAGTAGATTTTTGCTTTTCTTCCATCATTTCGGAAAATGTGATATCCATCTTCGATAATGGTGATTCCGTTTCTTCGAAACTTCCTTCGTTCCGCAATAGGCAATTCGGAGCATGTGATATCTTTCAAAACTCCATTTTTGTGAAGATGTACACGCTGCATCATGCACAGTAAGTATTCCAATTCAGGATTGCTTCCATTCATCCACATCTTGACAAATCGATTCACTATTTTTGCTGAGATAGTTTGAGACATGAAATGAAAATGTCGACAGTTCATCACCAACAAATCGTTCAAAGAAATATAGGGATTTCTGATACACAGCTTATTGAGGTTTTGCGAGTAAATTTGATGGATGGAGTTGGTGTCTCTAAGAAGTGAAGTATAAAAAAAATCCAAGCCTTCCATTCCTTGAAAAGTATTAAGAACGGATCGAACATATTCATCTGGACAGCCAGCGCAAAACCTCAGCATCTCTAATTTGATATGCGTGAACGTTTCACGTAACGATTGAACCGTAAACTCTGTAGCAGCTCGACCAAACGCTACTTCCATTTTCTCACGTTGAAAAAATTCCATCAAAAATATGATCCACTGCCTTCCATTGAGCCCTTGAGATCTCCATTCTTGTTGTTGATCAACAACTCGTACATAAATAGGCTCAGATAATGGGTCGGGTTCATCGAAAATAAATCGAAAGTATAAATCACAATGCCTGAGATCAACATGAAGTTGAAAATGACCCGATAAATTGAGCCATATTCTACTACACTTTGTAGGTTTTGAAATGCATATCTTTTTGCAACGTTTTGAGCATAAAGCAAGTGTCACTCTGAAAATTGATTAACTTTTTTTTCTTATCATATTTTTTAAACACTTACCTATCACAGATTGGAAGAACGTCTAAAAAGCGTGAGAGGTTAGTTTCATCTAACTTCAGTAATGGAAAAGTAGGGACCATCTCGCTATTCATAATAGTTCGAATGAGAAAGATCGATAGTAGAATATAGAATGAGAAGGGTGAGTGAAGACGTTGTGTGTGGAATTTGTGTGGTGGAGGACAGGCTGCCTATTCGACAATTGAGAGAGGTCAGCGCAAGAAATGAGAGGCAGATGGCAGAAGATTAGATCTTTACCTCTCTTCTTTTGTGTTGACCTCTCCATCCACCACTCATACTCACAAAAAAACACTGGGTGAAAACAGAAATGACCAACTATAAAGTTGTCCAAAATGCCAGTTGACAAAAGTCATCAGTACTTGTCTTTCTTCGAAAATCGTTTGTTTCCGAGTTACAGGCTCCCGAATGGTAACATGGCTCAAAGCATGTACTTTCTATTTTTTGGCCGCATTTAACACTGAAAATATTGATTTTCGGAAGAAGTCAAGTATTAGAAAGTTGGAGAAAATTGAATGCTGAACAACTTTGTAGTTGACCGTTTTTCTTTTCAAACTGTGGTTTTTGAGTTACAAGTTGCCAAAGGGTAACATGGCTTTACTGATAAACTTTCTATACTTCGAAACCCTGTAATTCTGAAACTATTGATTTTCGGAGGAAGTCAAGTATTGGAAAGTTGTAGCAAATTAGATGCTGAACAATTTTGTAGTTGACCGTTTTTCTTTTCAAACAACGGTTCATGAGTTATGAAGCTTTTTCTGAAGGATGCTCCAAGAATCACGAGGAATCTAGAGTGCATCCGGCTTCTTCTCCTCACTTCTCTTATCTATTCTCAGTCGCCTGTGTGGAATGTGTCGCCATAGCTCAGTTGGTTAGAGCGTGGGTTAATAACCCAAGAGAGGGAACTACTAACACACCCAAGGTCGCAGGTTCGAACCCTGCTGGCGGCAAATTTTTTTTTGTTTTTTTTTTTGGAGACAGTTGATGATTCAGAAAATGTTCCCATGTGTTTCTGTGGCTCAGTGGCTAAGAGCATTGAAAACTTTTCAAACCAAAAGGCCGCAGGTTCAAACCCCACCGGTGGCAAATCTTTTTTGCTTTTTTTCTTTTCGCAGAAAATGATTCAAAAAGTGTTCCTATTTGTTCCTATAGCTCAGTGGCTAAAAGCATTGGCAATTATTTGAACCTAACAGTCGCAAGTTCAAACCCCACCGGTGGCAAATCTTTTTTGCTTTTTTTCTTTTTGCAGAAAATGATTCAAAAAGTGTTCCTAGGTGTTCCTATAGCTCAGTGGTTATAAGCATTGGCAATTTTTTGAACCTAACAGTCGCAAGTTCAAACCCCACCGGTGGCAAATCTTTTTTGCTTTTTTTCTTTTGGCAGAAAATGATTCAAAAAGTGTTTCTATGTGTTCCTATAGCTCAGTGGTTATAAGCATTGGCAATTTTTTGAACCTAACAGTCGCAAGTTCAAACCCCACCGGTGGCAAATCTTTTTTGCTTTTTTTCTTTTTGCAGAAAATGATTCAAAAAGTGTTCCTATGTGTTCCTATAGCTCAGTGGTTATAAGCATTGGCAATTTTTTGAACCTAACAGTCGCAAGTTCAAACCCCACCGGTGGCAAATCTTTTTTGCTTTTTTTCTTTTTGCAGAAAATGATTCAAAAAGTGTTCCTATGTGTTCCTATAGCTCAGTGGTTATAAGCATTGGCAATTTTTTGAACCTAACAGTCGCAAGTTCAAACCCCACCGGTGGCAAATCTTTTTTGCTTTTTTTCTTTTGGCAGAAAATGATTCAAAAAGTGTTCCTATGTGTTCCTATAGCTCAGTGGCTAAAAGCATTGGCAATTTTTTGAACCTAACAGTCGCAAGTTCAAACCCCACCGGTGGCAAATCTTTTTTGCTTTTTTTCTTTTTGCAGAAAATGATTCAAAAAGTGTTCCTATGTGTTCCTATAGCTCAGTGGCTAAAAGCATTGGCAATTTTTTGAACCTAACAGTCGCAAGTTCAAACCCCACCGGTGGCAAATCTTTTTTGCTTTTTTTCTTTTTGCAGAAAATGATTCAAAAAGTGTTCCTATGTGTTCCTATAGCTCAGTGGTTATAAGCATTGGCAATTTTTTGAACCTAACAGTCGCAAGTTCAAACCCCACCGGTGGCAAATCTTTTTTGCTTTTTTTCTTTTTGCAGAAAATGATTCAAAAAGTGTTCCTAGGTGTTCCTATAGCTCAGTGGTTATAAGCATTGGCAATTTTTTGAACCTAACAGTCGCAAGTTCAAACCCCACCGGTGGCAAATCTTTTTTGCTTTTTTTCTTTTGGCAGAAAATGATTCAAAAAGTGTTCCTATGTGTTCCTATAGCTCAGTGGTTAAAAGCATTGGCAATTTTTTGAACCTAACAGTCGCAAGTTCAAACCCCACCGGTGGCAAATCTTTTTTGCTTTTTTTCTTTTTGCAGAAAATGATTCAAAAAGTGTTCCTATGTGTTCCTATAGCTCAGTGGTTATAAGCATTGGCAATTTTTTGAACCTAACAGTCGCAAGTTCAAACCCCACCGGTGGCAAATCTTTTTTGCTTTTTTTCCTTTTTGCAGAAAATGAATTCAAAAA